AAAAGTAAGTTATAAAAAATAAAAAATATACATTATTTTTTAATATCAATTAAATAATAGGAAAAAGGGCTAATTCGAGTTCAAGATTAATAATGCTATGTACCATATGGGTAAAACCTTCCTTGTGTTAGGAAATAGAGCAATATTTATTGAACATGAATCAATATAAATAATCAAACGTTTCGGCTCAATCATGAACCCTCTTCAGTGATATAAAAAAAACTCAAGGTTTACAAAACGAACGCATTATAAGTAAAAGAATTAATTAAAGACCTTAATAAAATGACATGAATGTTATTCGCAGTATTATAGTTGACAAGACCGTTACCCGACTAATATTAAGAAGTTCAAATTAATACTAGGAAGTAGCCGTCATAACTATAAAAAACCATAAAATAAAATAAAAATAGGTAAGATTAAAATATAATAAATAATTAAAACGGTCAATATAAATTACCTTTGTTGAGCTCGGCTAAAAGTGAAACGATCCTGTCAACGATAACATCGCCACGTCTAAGTAAAAGAAATAATAACAGATTTATATACACGAACATTAACATTGCGGCAACGACTCTTGAAAGAGAAGGAAACAAACAAAGTTTTATTTTCATAATAAGCCGCAGTAGCTGTTGCCCAAATATTCTGTGTCCTTTTGAGAGTTAAGTCCATGCTTTTGAAATTTAATGTAAATCATTTCTAATATCAGGCGTTTCAAGTAATAACGTTCCTCATACAAAACTTTGGCTTGATCCCAATTGAAATCATGGTTATTTCTCAAACGGTGTTCTTATATGGCCGTTAACTCAACTATAGAACTCCTTGGTATTCTCCTATGCTCAGCAATGCGCGTAGAGAGTCTTCTACTAGTTTGACCAACATACGACGCCTCACAACTACTGCATTGCAATTTATACACAACGTTATTATGGAAACCAGGGGCAACCTGTATTTATGCACACAAATCATTCCTGATAATTTATTATTGCAAGAATAAGCAATATTTGTCAAATTATTTTTAAAAAGCTTTGCCAGTCTGTTCGAAATCATACCAAAAAACGGTATGGTAAAATATTTTTTATCATAATCAGATGTCAAATTTGTTTTAACTATCTCTGAACCTCGTCCGCAATTCACTATAAGAAACCTCAGTCTACGTTTTATAATTTTAAAAATTAGGTCCAAAGGATAATTATTATTAATTAGCATCAAAATGATAAAGTCTAAATTATTCTTATGGAAAGTCAGATGACTAAGATAAAACATCCTATCCACCAAGCCAATAATTGTTCCGATCTTGTGTTGAATAGAATGAAAAGACAAATAGTTTAGGTACCGACCAGAAAACATTGGTTTATGATACCAGTCGAA